CATATTCAAATTAAAGAGTTCCCGCCCAGCATTGTATTGATTTGTGATTTGTTTTGGCCATAACACCTTTTCATTACTATGGAGCTCAGAGTTCGTAAATATCTGGCCGGAACGTGACATCCTGAATGGATGGCCTGTCCGAGCATCTGCGGCTTACGCTGGTCGCAATTTGTCGCTACGGCTAGTAAGTTCAAATATCGGATATTGAGAAAACGGGGAGTTTGTGAATTTGATGCAAGCGAAAATTAAAAAACGAATAAAGTTTGAATAAATGGACCATGTTTAAAAATTTTCTGTTTTCATAGATCTATCAATACTACAAATAACTTTTGAGTCTTACTTTACCAAGAATACCTAGGATTTTCATGATTAGCAAACGAGCAAAGACTAGAAGTCCAATAGCCAGAAAACCCGTAGCTTTCTTAGAATATCAAGTTTCACGTTGGCTCGAGCTAAGAGCACAAGATTTTTTTAGACACGACAATGTCTTTTTTTTAAATGATAAATGACATTCTTTCTCAAAAATGATAGATGGAAATTTTTCTCGGAACTGAAAAAATTATTTATGTTCCGTTGGAGTAGATAAAACCTTTTATAGTTAGCGTAAAAGTGAACACATAACAAAGTCAAGCGCAATATCAGAGCAATTCAATCACACACAGCAGAAGTTTGAAGGGATAAACGCAAAAAAGTAAATTGCAGTGGTTTTTCCAGTGGCCGACGCCCGGCCGCCACGATTCTCTTGTTACGTGGATCTACGGCGAAATTGAAAAAGCGATCCTCATCCAACACTTCAAACAAGTTTCGACTTTTTTTGGCCCCGATGTGCTCATACTCAGCCAACTCACCCATGTTGTTTGGGGGAAACTGGGTAACTTAAAAAGGAAACACAAAAGTTTGAAGTTGATAGGAACTATTGAAAAGTAAAGCCAATCAAGGCAAGATTGATAATGAAAACTGCTAAGTAAACAGTTCCCACGTATATCTTCTTATCAAACAAACAAAAAAGTAATGCTTTCGAAAAAACAGAACATGGCAATGAATAAAAATAAACTTCAGAACTTTCGCACAGGTTTGAGAAAGAATAAGGCGAGGACGAGTTGCCAACTAATGAAAACATACCCATCGATTGGATCAAATATCTGAAAAAAAGCAAACGATTTTTCAAGATCAAAATCGAAGAAGGCGGCAATTTCGTCGAATCGTCATCTTTTCCTGGCGCAATTGAGTCAATAAAGAGACACTGAGCCGAGAAAATTCCACACGGAAAATGTCATGAAATTGACTTAATGGATTTTATCAATGAGAATGAACTGTTTTCTCAGAAAAAGATGATTACATTTTAGTGTTCAAAAGGATGAAAACGAAATACTTTGTCTTGTTGTTTGGACCTTTTATAAGAAGATTTTTGAAAACAGAAACAAAAAGCCTAAAAATGATTTTTTTCGAATTCATAGCATTTTGACAGTAAATATTGTTTCTCGGATAAAAATAGGTAACTTTTCGCATTTTGAATTATATGCTACTGAACTTAAACATGATAAATTAAAAAAGACCGTCATTGAGAAAAACGAAATTTTAACTACACCTCCTGTTCATTTTCACCACAACGTACAGTCCTGGAAGTTGCAAATTAACGGTGTGAATGGTGCAAAAACGTCGGCTTAAGCTGACAATGCACACAAAAACGTCAAACGGCTGACCAAAGAAGCGTGCAAAGCGTTTTTCTTTGATGATTTGCGCTGTGTGGATGAACGCGACGCCGGAAACGAGACAGGAAACCGGAAGAGCCGCTTCTTCTTCTTCACCATACCGCCCTTTTAATAAATTGCGCAAAACACAGCGCCATTGCGCCATCTCATTAGAGACGGCTGCTTGACCGCTCTAAAACTTTCAAAGGGTCTTCAAATGTTTTCGAAGAAAACAGTGTTTGGAATTCTTTGCAGTTTCTACTAAACAAAACTTAAGCCAACAGCCATCTATTTATTTTTTCCGAGGTAAGCATTAATAAGTGAAAAAATTTTACTATTTATTCAAAGTTCACAACTGGACTGTTAATAATTTGAATTTCACAGGCTGAACTGTAGTACTGAAAAACCTTTTCGGTTGATTTTTCGAAGAAAAAAATGAGTTCGACTTGAACCCAAATGGAAAAAAAACTTGACAAGCTCCTCAAATCTCAATTTTTTTCAAAAAATCGAGCAGGCTATCTCAAATCAAACGTAACGTTGTACAAAACGAGCCTCAAACAAAATATTCAGAATTAGGAGCGTGTGCCAAACATTGATTTCAAAGCAATTTTTTGGATTGCATCCCATTAAAAATGTCCTAAAACTCGAGTCAAATTTTGCAGAATCATTTTGAAGAACAAGACATCGGGAGTGAAACTCACAAAATAAAGAGGAAAAGCCACGAGGGATCAAACGTGTCTGTTGCAAGAAAAAAGTTGAAGGCATGCAAACTAAGCAGCGGCGAGTGGCAAAGATGCGCACTCGGTGCCCTCAAAAAGTGACCTGACAAATTTGGGAATGCCTCCGGGGACCTGCGATCTCTAAGTAGCTTTTCTACGCAACGCACAAACAGCATATTCAAAGTATCATTACGTTTCAAGAAGAAATGAAAAGGCGCGGCAAAGGTTTTTGCTCAAATATTCTCCAGTCCTTCTGAATTCCAATATGGTTCTAGATACCTGTCGGAAGACCTTAAATAGGAAGAATTTTGCTGTTCCGTAAAAGTATCCACTTTGTGACACAATGCGGCCATTAACATTATCATATCAATCAGAAAAAATCTCGAAACAAAAATTTATGAGCCTAAGAAGTTTCAAAATCTTGAAAGACCAATTTTTACTGAAAAGTGAAGATTTTTAACAGAAAAAAGCTACGGATTTCGAAAAAAAAAATTCAGCCGAATAAATAGTGTAGCGGAAGAGCGACAACAACACTTTGCTCTTCCTTTGCGCAAAAGAAATGCAAGTTTTTGGAAGTTTTTGGCCCTCGAAACTTGCCGAAAATTCCATTTTGTCCTCTCTCTACCTTAATAATATACTACGATGCTTTCCACGTTTGGCCGTTTTTATAAGCAGTTTTTTTCAGTAGCCAATTCTCGCAGATTTTCATAATATCCAAGAAAAATAAGGAGAATCGTTTATGTTGGAAAAGGAGGGTGTGAAATGCAACGAACGCTGCCAAAACGATCTGCCAGATTCAAGTGAGCTCCAAAAAGCACCCAAGTGGAATTCATCTGGCCACGATTAGTTTCACGGATGGTTAGCCAAAAATGAGAAGTTCTAGCTATATTTTTATTCTTCACACCGACGTAATCTGCCATTCATCAAAAGTTTATGTGAGAGAGTAGTAACTGAATACGTTCTGCCTAATAATCCACAAAAAAAGCTAATGTTTAATAAGATTATTACAAGGTTTTAACACAATCCGATGAAAAACATCATTCAATCATTCCAACAAGGTGAGAAACAAAACACAAAAAATGTTGTATTCATTTTTTTTGGGGATATGATTTGAATTTCAGAACCAACCGCTTTTTTGGGAAAATTTCCTAAAACAATTTTCTTTTTCATAAAGAAAAAACGGGTTTTCAATGAAAGTTGAATGAAAACTCAGGCACTCAAGACTCTTAAACAGTGACAAAAAAATAAAATTTAATTTAGAAGAACTTTTGGTTGAAAAACATTATTCAATTTTTTTATTTATGAATTATTTATCAGAACAAAAAAACGCAGCTTCAGCTTTGACGGTCGCATAATACCAATAAACTTTATTCTATTTTTTTGACATAGAATAATATAATAATAAAGGAAAAAAATGAACGAATCACTTCAAAAAAATCTGAAATCGACTTTTTTTCAGAATCAAAACTAAACGCAACATTCTAGGCTAATAAAATATTCTACGGCATCTCGAGAAAATATCGTAAAATTCAGTTGGATGCTGGAGTCGTCGGTAACAGCAGGAACCCATCTGGCTGCGCGGCGGCCCATCTAATTCTGCACATGCCTCCGAAACACTCACACCGTCTCTATTGTTCCACGTAATTTCGAGTTATCCGCCGCATTCTCGTGTTGCTCTCCAATTTCCCTGAAACAAATGAACGTTCAGGCTAACAATAACAGCGACATGAGCTGGTTAAGCTAAAGCCGTCTGCTCAAAGGAAGAGATAGAAAATGACAATGACTAAAAAATCTTTTGAAAAATTCACAGATCTGGAAGTAAAGATATGCTCATTTGATTTTTGGCTATAACTTCCCTCTAAACGATCGAAGTCCACTGAAATGTGCAAAAAAAGTAAAATATGCTGGTTTGAAACTTTTCACCTCAAAAAACGTTGTGACGGGAGATCTGATTATGACCAATACAATGAGAAATGTTTCCCCTTGAAACAGCGAGCAGAATGCGATTTTAGGCTTATTTGACACATTTTTTGAAATTTCTCCTTGGCTTTGTCCCTGATTTTTTGAAAACTCTGTCATAGGTTAGCTAGGTTTATTTTTTTATCTGCTATCCAAAAAAAAACTTTCAGGCTGTTTCTTGAAGGAACTATGAATGGACAAAATTCCAACTTGATCAATATTTTTAATGCCTGCTTGATGTTGTCAGGACGTTTTCAACAAAATTTTTTTAAGCATCGATATTATTTATCAGAAATAGAAAATAAAATATTTTCCAAAAAAGTCTCCAAAGAAGACTCAATATTTCATCAATTTTCCATCATATTTATTTCATTCAGCACTTGCAGTTTCTTATAACAATTATTTTTTTCAAACCCTATCGGTGCCTTGATATCTTTTGAAAGTTTCAAGGCAAATGCGCTCCATTCGCAATGCGACTGCCAAGCGGAACCATTAGAGGAGCGAATGTCATTTGTACATATCAACTGTAAATTTTCCTTGTTTTTTTTTCTTTATTTGTGTTTTTCAACAAGAAAAGGTTGGTTTGCTTTAGGTGATCTTGGAATGGCTTCTGAAAACAGCGAACCTACAGATGTTGAACAGGTTTCTCAATTTTCAATTTTATAGCCAAATTATTTTATTTTATCGTCTTTTTCACTTGTTTTTTTCTTTCATTCTGCGTTTAGGAAGAGGCACGCCATTTGTTTCAATCAGCTTGCGAATGCGAAAAAACTGGAGACATGTCCAACGCTGTTAAGCTGTCAGTTTTTCTTTTCTAATAATTAACTTTTTATTTCTTTTTTTAGATACAAGAAAGCCTTCAGACTTGTCCCAAATATCGATAGACAAATGAATATTTTTGAGCAACAAGGAGATCAAGGTTGAAGATTATCAAAATTTATTATTGAAAATTCTCCGTTTTTTAGGATGATAACTTGACGCTAAATGAAAAGCAAATTTTGAGGAACAACCTTATTGAAAAAATCAAGGCAACCGTCGACGAAAAGGGAGCTTTTTTCGAGAAAGACAAATCTGGTTCATTTCTTGAAAAAAATTTTTAATTAAATAAAATTTAACAAATTAGTTGAATATAATGTTTTTCAGGGCCTTGTGAATTGCTAAATCTTCCTCGAGAGCTACTACAGCTTATTGTGCGGAATGTTCTCCTACCAGACTTTGATGTGTTGAGTATCGAGCGTCTCTCGTTAACTTCCAGTTTTTTCTACATTCTGACTACGTGAATATTTTTAGTTTCAAGCTCGCAAAGGATTCCAAAATATTTTCAATGGCTTTTTACAGTGAGGAGTTGCTTTGGAAAAGCGCCAACACACAGAAGTCATTCTACAAATCGGATGAAAGCGCAGAAAGCGATTGGCCGACTGATCCCACACTCGATCTTCGCATGCAGTTCCTGACGACGCCTCATGTGATGTTCAACGGGTGTTACATTTCCAAAACGTCTTATATTCGCCAGGGAGACAACACGTTCCAGGTGCTCTTTTCCATTTCTTTGAAAACTTTTTTCTAAAGTGTGCCAGTATATTCTATCAGAAACGCGATAAACGCCACGAGAAGTTAAACTTTTTTTGTTATTTATTTTAACTCAAAAAAATATTTGAGAAAGTGTTGAAAAGGTGACCAGCAGGAGGTCGGAAGGTAAATGAAAACAATAAGTTATTGAAAAGATAAGAAAAGATAATCAGAAAGTAGTCGAAAGGTCTTTGAAAGGTGAAACATCAAAAATTCCTGCCAAAAACATTCTAGCAGGCTTTTTGAAGGTAGAGCATTGAAAGATATGAAGAAGGTATTTGATTACTAAGAAAACTGTTGAACGCCTTCAGTGGAACTGATGGAATAGTTTCTCAACTTTTACCTGAGAAGGTGAAATCCATTGTTCCCTGAGAAGAAACTTCTAGAAAAATTTGTCTATTTGGCGGTTTGACAGTTAAATATCATTTTGCAAAAGTTCGCCATCAAAAGATATTGGAGCATTGACAAAATTTGATAACCCTTATTTTTAGGTAGCCTGATAGCTCATTGAAAATGTCGCTTGTTTGCTTTTTTGCAACGTCTTTGCTATTATAATAGTGAATAGCTAAAATTTTCCGCCGGTCTTTATTCCATGTTTTTTTTTTTGCAAAATTTGGAATATTCTCAATTGGTTAAGAATCCTGTAATAAAAGCAAAAAGTCCTCTGTTTTTGCATTTTGTTTCTCCATGTCCACAATAATCTAGCAAGTTTCTACATGCATAACTTTTTTTCATTTTTGTTTTCAGGCGTCCGAATATCAGCCTTGGCACACTGTCACATATTTTAGAGTTATGCGCTTTCACTCCAATGGTTTATGCAGAAGTTTTGTTTGATAAACTAAAATTGTACATTAAGGATGGTTGTATTCTACAACTGTGGCAGACAATCCCATGAAAGCCAGCGAAACTTTGTGCGGCAAAACGCCAAGAACAGTAAAAGCAGTTATGAGGGGTCGCTGGTACTTAAATGGAAACATCATAACAAGCACGGTTAGTTCTATTTAAAACAGAGCCAAATTTTGCTCAGTTTCAGCTCCACCGACCAGGTGACACGCCGCAAAAAATGAAGATCACCACTCGTAAACGTGAACAAGTTCTTTATCACCATGGGGTACGTTTTGAAACTTATAAAAGTTTTCAGTTGATCTTGATCAAAATTTTACGTTTTCAAAAAATAAGAACACAATTAGTATTAAACTGGGTATTAGTAAAAAAACATTTTTGCGTTACGTCTTGATTTTTGAAGAGAAGGATTTCTGAAGCTTAAAAAAATAAGATCAATACAACTTTAATAAATTGGTGAAACTCACCTGAGAGAAATTTAAGAGAATTTTTAGATGCATTCCAGAAAAATTTATCGTCTTTTTGATCGTCTGAAAACTTTATTACCAATGCTCTCCGGGATCTTTTTTTGCTTGTTTATCAAAATATTTTGAAGAAGTATCAGCTTTAATTAGAGCAGTTATCAAAATCATAGTAATTTTCATTGTAGAAACATTTCTTCAGTTCCAAATTGGTCAATTCAAAAAAATAAGATGAAATTGTACTGATAAAAAATTGGAGGCAAGTTAACAGGATTTGATACCGAAAAGCTATGAATTTCGCTAAAGGCGCGAAAATCCAAAAAAGCGAATAGTTCATGGCGAAATGCTCTTGAAATATTAACTACAATTTTCGATGTCGATACATATTTCTTTTTAGCGTTGGCTATGAAAAAGGTGGTGATTATTTATATCCGAAAATCTTATATAAAGCTAATTTTTTTAGGTCAAAGAACAAAATTACGAGATTACTCTGAAGCTGGAGCCGTGCCACACGATGCGATGGCGTCTTCACTGGGTCTCCAACAAACACTTTATCCGATACTTTAACGGTGACTCGGAAGAGAGCTCTTTTGAGGTAAAAGATAAACATTTGATATTGAAACTGAATCATGATTTTTTTCTCAGACCAACACGAAGCGCTTCCCGGCGTTGAAGTTTTTCCCCTACTCGACACCACGTTTTTGAAACTTGAATAATGTCTTTAAGTTAAATTTTGTTCCTTTTTAGCCACTTGAACTGTGTAAAATGTAAATTCACTCTGCTTGGAGTGCCTGTTTTTTACAGTCGTCCAAAATGTATTGCCTTATTCCCATATAATAAATTTTCTGTGATTAAATAGTTTTTTGCTCACACAATCAAAAAGTTCAGAAAGAGCTGCAGTTGAGTGCAGAAAAAAGTCTGAGAGACAATGCCTTTTTTTTTTAGAATCGTTTCGAAAAGTTTCGTTTAAGTGATATTAATTGAAAGCACGGCGTTGGCTAATTGATAATACTTTCATTTCATTACAACTCGACAAGTTCCTTTTCACAACGTCACAAGTCTAATCCGATTTGAAATTATTTGTTTTGAATTCTCAAAAATTTCGAGCTTTTATTGAAAGGGTGAAAACTTCAAAAAACTTCATTTGTCCCAGCGTGAAAGTTCACGCATTTCTAGTTGATTAAGCAATCGTTCTAAGCAGTTTCACTATTTATCTGTTTGATAAGGCCAACAAAAATACTTTTTATTTTTCCCAATATTTTTTTATGTGGCTCTATGAAAAAAATTAAGTTTTTTTTAAATTTTAAATAAGATAGATGGTCTTAGGATGATGAACGATATCCCTTATCAACGTCTCGGCAACAAAAAAATGAACAGTTTTGGGTGAGTTTTCTTTTTGATCAATTTTATTTTATTCTTTATCTTAAAGGAAATGGATTATGGAGACGATAGCGACTTTGTGAGAAGCTACGATTACACTAAAAAACAGGAGAAACTGGAGCAGAAGGTTTTTTTCGACTTTTTTTTCTAGCACGAGCAAATTGCTTTCAGTGCCCACTTTTGGCTGCCTACAGATATGAAGAAAAAGTTCGAGAAATGAACGAAAAGCTGCTCCAAGTGAGTTTTTAGAAAAATCCTCAAATTGACTCAACTCGGAGCGCCCGGGCCGCAGGTCTCGTTTTCGAAAAGTTGCTTCAAGTCGGGCGCGCTCAAAAAAGTGTTTGGGCTATTCTCTTTGAATTACTTTGGATAATTTGGCTTCTTTTGCCCTCAAGAAGTTTTAAAAGGATCTGTGAGCAGAGTGACGGCAAATTTCAAGTTTAACTCGGTCTGATAGTTCTCTTGGCGTGAAATTGGAAATATTTTCATTTTGATAGTTTGTGATAGTGCAAGTTTCCGCTTGCTGAAAAAAGTGCATCAATTAATTAGAATATGACTTTCAATTTGCGTTTTTCTTTTTCTCTAATTGTTTAAAATCTTATCGTGATGAGAAACAGGAAACGCAGACATTTTTTTTTCCAATCAGAAGATATGATGCTGCTGAATATACTTGGAAATCTTGTGACGCCACAGTCTCTATGGCGATTTTGGAAGGATTTTCCTTTTAAAAGCTTGTAAAATCTGAAAAAATGAAAATGATCTTTAGCGTGCAGGTTACTTATTTCAAGATTTTCAGAATTTCAAAAGACGAACTGCCAGTTTGCCACCACGCATCAAACCGGCTGATCCTGCTCCGAAAAAGAAAATCGAACCAAAAGCTCCGCCTAGGTCTTTCGAAAGAAGGAACTCCATGTCTCGCAGAAAAGCAAGCATTGAGAGCTCCAAAATAAGGAGCAGACCTGTTGCCAAGCAAATAAGTTGTCTCACCCTGTCAGGCAATCTTATAACGATTTGAATTTTTTGAATTTCATCATTTCTTGGTTGAACCGACATAATCTATGAGTATTTCTTTTTGTTTTCATTGTCGCAACAATTTTTTTTTATTTGTGTTTTGCAATATATTTTCACATCAGTAGCACAACGAAAATAGCAAAGCTGAAAAAAAATATAGTGGGTGAAAAAAAGGACAGCCGAAGATCAGCTTGCAAAGACAGTTGGATATAGGAACATGAATGCAAAAAGCGCTTTATTTTTTGCAGGATTCATGTGAGAATCCATCGAAGCGTTCGCAAGGAACAAACAATTTACTGTTAAAGCAACTTGCCGATGGTTCCCAGAGGTACTAGGAAAAAAGGCAAGCAAGTGCGCAACAGTGGATCAGAGAGCATGGTGAACACGGAAACACCAGAGGGTCTCCGCATTTGTCGCGCTCTCTTACCAAATTCATGCGCGTTTGCTTGTCGTTTTCCGTCTTTCTCATGAGCTGTCTTTACAGCTTGTAAAAAGAAAGGAAGACGCTGTATATATTGTGAAGATTAACTGGTGGTAAAGTTTTTCATCGCAATTTTTCGTGAATTTCCGGCTTCTTGACACTTTTTTTTTCACCGGGTCATTTCAAAAAAATTTTTGGAAACCGTGATCAAACGCAGAGAAGCCATAAAGTTACAAATTGTGACTGGTGAATCGGAGCATCTTATTGGTTGCAATAGCGGACGATGAAGTGGATGACGACGGCAACGATGCCGAGAAACATCAAGAAGAGCACCATGCTGTAGGAGTGAAGAAGAACGATGGCTGTATCGCTCACTGGCGGTATATTGCCGTCAAAAGCGTCTTCGGAAGGTATCATGAATCTGAAACCGAAAAAAACCATACAGACATTTTTGATTCGGGATTTCTAGAAGTTGTTTCCAAAAAATTACCTCATTTAGTTCCTTAAGAGAGATACTACTATGATCTCACAGAGTTAAAAAAAAAACTTACCTGGAGCTCTGCATTCTGGCCTTTTCTTGAGAACAGAAGGAGACGACCGCTTACGGCTCGAAATGCGATTTCGAACCAAAACGGTGCCATTCCGACCTCCCACTAGAATGTATAATAAATCAAGCAGAAAGCTGATTGGCGAAAATTTCTACTTATTGGTATTGTTAGGAAGTATTAGATCACTTTCAAGATGGCTTTAGTCTTGCATCGTGGTGAAATGAAAACGCGCCTGCTCATCGGATAACCCGGCAGATGAGCCAAATAGCCTCGCACGTTTTGCGGCGTACAATACAAGACATCTGGATTATCGTGGCCGGACATACAAGCTCTCTGTTTACATTATTGAGCAGAGCGACTATACCTCATTACATTTCAAATCCTCATATTTTGCGATGGAAATTTTCACCTGAAGATCTCCTGGAACTCTTGCGAAAAAAATAATTCCTTTGGAAGTTCAATCGAAGGTATCTGAGTATTCGTGAGTTTCATTACTGGAGAATCAAGATCATTTGCGTTCGGTGTACGTTCTAAAAAAAGGAAAGTCATTAGCCAAATAAACTCTGAATTGATGAGAGCTTCTGGACAGCTCCTCTGCCAGAAAAATCTCACAACGAAAGTTGGAAAGATAAACGTTTTTTTGAACTTCGGATTTTCATCAAATGAAAAAGAAAAAAAAACTTTGAGACTTGGAAGAACATTTTTTTGATTTTGAATAAAAAAACGCTCATACTTGTGTGTAAAATGACTGAACTAGAAACTGGAGATCGTCAACTAATAAGTAAAATATCCTGCATGAATGGAATGGCCGGAAAAGCCTACCTGTTTCTCACTACACTCTTTTTCGTGATTAAAAAGTCGGTATTTTCCAATTTCAAATCGAGATTGGCAATTGATATCTTAGAAAAATTGCAGATGTTCGTCACATTGAACTTGTCATCCATCAGAGTGTGATGAAACTGCGCAATCGCAAGGACATCGGTTATTGGTTTTTTTTAGCCAGATTGAATCGAAAAAAAGTGCTCTTTTGAGCGGTACTAACACCACCTTGGCAAAAAAAGTTTTTTTCTTTTTTCAATGTTCGCGAGTTCAATTTCAATGCTCGATAATCCTACTTTCTTTGAGAATCTACTGGCAAATTTTTTGGCCTTTAAAATTTAAAATCGATGTACAACTTTTTTGCGGCATAGCTCAGCTGGCATAACTCATTTCTAACGTCCGCAAGGTCGTAGGTTCGAGTCCCCCCGAGGTCGACCAAGCCTTTCATCCCTCCGGGGTAGATAAATTTGGGAGCTGCATGCAACAAAAAGGCTCAATCTCTGCCATCGGCCTTTGGAAAGCCGGCACCGTACTTCTTCCTACGACCTCTCTTGTACCTGATGCTCTACGAGCAAAATTCACAACTTCTCTGCCTAAGCCACAGCTCCTGCCGCCGTTTAAACACAGTTGAAATCAATGAAAGTCGATTGCACATGTACTCTTACATTGAAGATGCAATAAACAGTTTTTTTTTAAACAGTACAACTTTTTTGCAGAAAAATCTTCCCGAAATTTCGGGCGCAGGTCCTTTGCCTTTGACGACAGTTTTTCTTGACGATTTCTGTTCCCCGACTTGCTCCGACTTATTCCTTTTTTTCTCCCAATTGCCAGCGTATGGTGTGAGGAGGATAAACAAATGTTACCAAGAGGGCAGACGCTGTTCGTGCCTTTTGCTTGTTCATGCAGAAGAAGAAAACAAAAGCTGCCGGTCAGAAAAACAGCAGATACTCGAGTTTTTCCACATCTGGGAAAAAAACTTTAAAAAAAACATTCCAGAAGGCGTCTGCCAGAAAATTAATCTTGCAAAGATGATCTACTTTATTAACCTCTGAAAATCCTCAAAGTAGAAAAGTAACTTAATTGAGTGATAATAAAAATGAGGTTCTTTGAAAATTTGGTTCACTCGTCCTATTGAAATTTTGACTTTATTTCAAAATCCTAAGCTCCCCCGGAGAGTGAATTGAGTAAACAAAATGTACAAACATGTCGGAATAAAATAAAGCAAGATTTCTTACATCAAGATGTCGTATGCCCTTTTTACGAGCCCCATACTGACATTTCTTGCGGCACTTTGCCTTCCGTCGGGGCATGAGTCACGTCGTAGAGTGCTTTTTTCAAATGGGAAACTGTCGCTTTGTCGGGCGGACTTTCCGAATGTCGAAACCCTCTTGTCACATGTCGAAAAATTTTTTTTCTTCTTTCCGAATGATGCCGGCAAAAAAGAATGTTTTAATAACTTTTTCAAAAGTTTTGGAAAGGAATTCGTATAGATATCGATTTGAATTGCTTTTCAACTTCTAAGAATTGAAATGAATACATTTCAATCTTGTTCTTCCATCTAAATCAGCCTTGAAAAAAAATCTTTAATTGATGCCCCATAGCAAGATCTGAATGACAAAAGAGAAAAAATCTACGGTTCCTTAGACATAGACAAACCCACGGGCGTGGGGAAGAATCGTTGTTGCGTTTTTGGTACGCAAGGCGCTCGTTCAGAGCCAAAAAAAAGGCAAGCGGAGACGTGGGAGAGCGTCGGAATCGATCCAAAAAAACGCGCGGTTTCAAATCTTCTATATTGCACTTTGAGAGAACTGTATTTTTTTTTTCCCAAAAAGTGGTTCGTGAGAAATTGAGTTCTCGACAAAAAGGAGAGTTTAACGGAGTTCGACCCAATGTACATTAGTCATTTTGTTCGGCCAACTGCTCCAACTCCTCTTCCGTTCCCGAGGACAGCCAACTGTTGCACTCCTCGAGAACAAATCAAGTGGAATCCGAAACTACGACACTTCTCGTGAGCAAAAAAGGGTGAAAGTTATTTTATTGAAGAAACTAAAACTTCATGAACAGTTCTTGTCGTGCACAGAAACCGCAGAGAGGAAGTTACAAAGATGGTTCTTGACGTAGAAACGAGCCAGATTTGAATCTTATTTTTTTTTTCTCTTCTCTTTTTTCTATTCAAATCCCATTTCACACGTTCTTTTGTTTTTTCAAAAACCTCATTTCAACATTTTTTTCTTTCAAAACCTGGTTTGTTTACCATCAGCGATCAGCCAAAGAATGAATGAGCATTCGAAAGAAGATTCCACACGCCGGACCACGTCAATGTTTCATTGTGTCGAATGGTAATGGACGTCTGGTTAGCCAGGACACAAATTCAATGATTTCAGTTTCTCAATCCCTTCACAGCAGAAAGTTTCAAAAATAACTTGGGATAAAACGAAAAATAAAGCTTTTTTTTCCTTGTTCAGGGTGAAGCTCACTGGAACAAAAAAATGGGAAATATTCAAAACTTACACACAATTGGCATCGAGAAGGCACAATCTCTGCCATCAGCTTTTGGAAAGCCGGCACCGTACTTCTTCCTACGACCTCTTTTGTGCCTGATGTTCTACGAGTGAAATTCACAATTTCTCTGCCAAAACCACAGCTCTTGCCGCCGTTTAAATACAGTCAAATCAATGAAAGTCGATTGCACGTTTGTTCTTACATTGAAGATGCAATAAACAGTTTTTTTTAAACAATTAAAAAAACAGTTTTAATTACACAATTGGTCTTGTTTTTCAGAGAAGACCCTGCGAAAAACTCATTTATATGTTGTTCGTGATTGGTTGGAAACATATGAGTGATAGTATCTTCAAAAGGATAATATTCTCATTCTTGAAACTTCCACTCGTTCAATTAATCAAAATAAATTTCAATGATTAGAATATATGTCTGCTATTATCGGATGTGTCTTTGATCGCTCCAGCAAAATCAAATTAGATTTAGAAAATTTAGGAAAAAAAAAACGAAAATAGACTAAAAATCAAATTTCGAAACTTTTGCTACGCATGGCGCTCCTTTAGTTTGGAATGACGCCCCAAAACTCCCTTCAAGACCTATTCTGCCCCTGAGCCAATGGGCGAAGGGGCGGGGCAAAGAGGCGGTCCAGCCGCACACTTTCTGCTCATTCCGCCAGCCTGCAGTCGCCTGGTCACCTCGCGTCCCTCCCTTCTCTGC